TGTAAAAAGTGACAACAGTCAAAAATTGCCAGACCAACATTTTCTCCTGTTGGCTATGAAGGAGGAAGATATAATAACAGCAGACACCAAAAAAACAAACAGAGTTCACGAGCATGAAAAAGAAAACACCCGTTCTGTCTGTCTTCTTGAACAGAAACGCAAGGTTGTTTCTTCAAATATTGATGTGCCTCCAGCAAGGTAAGAAAAGACTTTTAAAAGCACATTTTGGGTTATATTTTAATGGAAGAGAGATGGCAGATTTGATAACTGGTACTCTTGACCTGATAAGACTAAGATTCATTCTTCAGTGGTCCAATCTAAAGCACAGCATGTGTTCTGCTGACAGATCTGTTTAGAGAACTGAAACTGCCAGTAATGGAAACTGAAAGCATTTGAAATGTAAAAGTCCATGTTACTTCTGTTCCTTATGTTATTTCATGTGCTATGTACTGTGTGCTGAGTTCCAGTCCATTGAGTTGCAGTGAACTCTCAAAGTGATGACTAAAAACAAAACAGCATGGAGTAGCAGAGTGCATCTACACGAGATGCTATGGTGCACTAGCTTATTGCTATTGCACATTTGCATTGGTGGGCACTAGCTGTGACATGAAGCTACTGCGCAGTAGTAACAAGCTACTGTGCAGTAGTGTCTGGAAAAAAATGCAGGATCGCTACTGTTTAGTAACACTAGTTACAGCGCAGTCATTTAATACTTGGTTATGCAAGTACTAAATGACTGCGCAGCCACAACTGTGCAGTCTGCTGCTCATGTAGACGCAGCCACCGTGAATAAAGGGGAGAGAGAAATGCAGGTATCATGGGTATCAACAGGGAGTTGAACGTAGCGATGAAGAAATTCATGGAGATTATATAGAGATTATGTTAGGTTTTACTTCTAGCCCTTAATATGGTGTGGAGGCTGAGGACTCTAGAAAGCAATTTCACCCTTTCCAGTAGGAGACTATTTCCTTTAGGGCTAGGGACAGACATTCAAAAAGCTTGAGTCTGAATGTTTGTAGGTTAGTCTAACCTGACTAGGCTGAACTGGTTGGAAACTGGACAGACATTCTCTCCGGACTGAGGAAATTCAGGCACATGCCTGCAGTAGCTCAGGCTAGAAGCCAGGGGATGCTAGAGCAGCTCTCCCTTTCCTTCTGCAGGGCGCTGAGCTGAGGGGGGGTGTGACCAGGCTTTGGAAGGACTCTCTCATTAGGGATGTCTGCCTGCATGGTCCCAGGCTTTTCCCTGCTGGCTGCTCAAGGGGTGGGAGTGTTGTCAGCCCTTAGCCCTGGGCTACCACTCTGAGGCAAGGGTTATGTGCAATGCATGCATCTGTTGATGATACAGAGCTTTTCAATCTGCCTCCATATGCTTTGTCATACTGCTTGCAACAAATTGACAGGCAAGCAAGCCAGCTGGGAGCTGATAAGAGTCTTTATCACCTGATTACCAAAACAATGGCCTCGCTCCGTTAGTTCAAACTTCTTAAACAGCTTACCAGCTGATCTGTTGATTAGCTACAAAAGCCCTGTTCTGTCTGTGTGCATGTCCCAGTGAAATTAGAGAGAGAAACACACACAGACACCTCTAAGCATTAGCTAGTTTACAGGTCACTGGGGCTGGGGTCCGTGCTGTGGGAGATGGGAGGGAGGGGGGATTTCCTGTTTGAGTAGCAAGGGGGGATAGAGCACAAGGAACCCAGCAGATCCTGCTGTGCCTGCAAATCTCTGTCGGAGCTGCAAATCTCAGCCAGAGAGCAGAGGGGAGGGGCCAGCCCTGCTGTGGAGCAGGGAGCCCTGCCCAGCCCATAGAGCATGCCAGGATGCTGGGGGCCTGATTTAACTTAAATCAGCAAGGGGTCTGGGACAGATTGTATAAACTGGTTTGATCCAAATCAGTTAAGTCTGATACTACATTCAACCAGGTTTATCTCAAACTGGTTTCAGCCACTTTCAAACTGGTTTATGTCCACAGAACATCTGTTCTGTTGTGGATTTAAACCAGTTTCTGGTCACTTAAACTGGTTTATGTGTAATGTCTGTATCTAGCCTTATTGTCTGGACTACTAGATGTGTTGCCTGAGAAATAAATGAGGCTCATTCCACCACCTTTCCCACTATCTTCACTCCTCTTGTCCCCCACCATCATGCAACATCACTGCAGTACAGAGGATATTCAAGAGACCATGTAAAGCAATATTCTCCATTATACCCTAATATAGCCCACTGAATAGACCACATGCGAGAGTGTGTGTGCTCACAAAAGCAAGCAAGGGGAATAAAAACGAATTGTAAATTTTGCTACACCTGCCCTTACCCTATGATTTTACATGCACGTAAGTGCTGGCAATTTTAGTGTTCTTATTAAGCAACCACACTTCTGGTTAAATTGCTCATGGATGATATTACAGAAGATTCATTTGTATATTTTCTGAAGTTTAATGGAATAACAGCTGGAGGTAAGAATTCCATGCTGGCTGGCTACAGTAAGATGACTGTTTTGTGTTCTTGGATAACCTCTCATGGTGTTTGACATTTTCTTTAGTTTATTTTGTTTTATTTATCATTTCATTTGATATTTGTGGCCATCAGGTTTTCAGCAAAAGCTTTGTGAAATGTATGCATGGCAAAATCATCTGCTTGTAATATTCAGTGGAATGCTTTCTAGCATGTTAGAAGGGAAATTAAACAAGCAAACAAGTGCTGTCTTTGATCCATTTTAAGGATCTAGAAGTGCTAAAAAATATGGTGGGTTGAGCTGCAGAGCTGAAAATGGATCTTTAGTACTTCTGAGTATGAAGGCATTAGTATTGCTAATTTTGATCTGACATGGGTTATTGAAGCCCCTGAAGTTCAGGAAGGTTCAGACTAGAGACTTTGTTTCAGGTTCACCTTTCAATGTTTTTAATGAATATCGTAGGAGATTTCATAGATTTCATAGACATTAGGACTGGAAGGGACCTCAGAAGATCATCGAGTCTAGCCCCCTGCCCAAAGGGCAGGAAGTCAGCTGGGGTCATAGGATCCCATCAAGATAAGCATCCAATTTTCTCTTGAAGGTGTTCAGTGTAGGTGGTTGTACCACCTCTGATGGCAGGCTATTCCAGACCTTGGGGGCTCAGACAGTAAAGAAATTCTTCCTTATGTCCAGCCTGAAACGGTCTTGCAGTAGTTTGGAACCGTTCAACCTTGTCATCCCTTGGGGCACTCTGGTGAACAAACGTTCCCCCATATACTGGTGGTCACCCCTGATAAACTTATAGGTGGCCATCAGATCACTCCTGAGCCTGTGCTTTTCCAGGCTAGAGAGCCCCGTAGCTCTCAGCCTGTCGTCATACGGTCTGTTTTCCTGACCTCTGATCATGCGCGTGGCTCTTCTCTGGACTCTCTCAAGCTTCTCCGCATCCTTTTTGAATTGTGGAGCCCAAACCTGGATGCAATACTCCAGCTGCGGCCTCACCAAGGCCGAGTACTAGGGGAGAATGACATCCCGGGATTTGCTTAAGAAGCATCTATGGATGCATGCTGGCGTTTTGGTCGCTTTACTAGCTGCAGCATCATATTGCAGGCTCATGTTCATCTTGTGGTCAATGATAACCTCCAAGTATCTTTCTTCTGTAGTGCTAGCCAATGTAGCACTGCCGAATAAGAATGCTGCAGGTTTTTCCTCCCAAGGTGGCGAACCTTGCATTTTTCAGTGTTAAACACCATCAGGTTCTCGTCCGCCCATTTGCTGAGCCTGTCCAGGTCAGCCTGGATCGCCCTCCTGTCTTCTGGTGTGGATGCTTTGCCCCAAAGTTTGGTGTCATCGGCGAACTTGGCCAGTCCGCTTCTGACTCCAATGTCCACATCATTAATGAAGATGTTGAACAATATGGGTCCAAGGACAGAGCCTTGGGGGACCCCACTGGTCACAGGACACCATGATGAGTGACTTCCATCAATTACTACCCTCTGGGTACGACCACGGAGCCAATTTTCCAGCAGTGGATCATGGTGGACCCAAGGCGACAATTGGCCAGTTTCACCAAGAGGTGATCATGGGATACCAGATCGAAGGCTTTTTTGAAGTCAAGATATATGACATCAATCTCTTCTCCCTTGTCCAGGTGATAGGTCACCTGGTCGTAGAAGGAAATGAGATTGGTCAAGTAAGACCTACCCACAACAAACTCGTGCTGGCTATCCCTCAGGATGTTGGCATCATCCAGTCCATTAAGGATGGCCTCTTTAATAAACTTTTCTAAGACCTTCCCAGGGATAGAGGTTAGGCTGATGGGCCTATAGTCTGCCAGATCCACTTTCCTTCCTTTCATGAAGATAGTCACCACATTGGCCTTCTTCCAGTCTTCAGGCACTACACCAGAGCGCCAGGAGTTCTCAAAGATCCGTGCCACAGGCTGGGCTATGATGCTCACCAGCTCCTTGAGTACCCTGGGGTGTAGATTGTCAGGGCCAGCTGACTTGAAGATATCCAGCCTCTCAAGGTATTCCTTCATGAGGTCAGCATTGATGGAGGGCAGGGGATCTCCCTCACCTGGACCTCCCTGTCCCATAGTGGGCATGGGCGTCCCATGGGACTGATGAAAAACCGACACAAAGTACCCATTTAATAGGTTGGCTTTTTCCTGTGCGTCAGTTGTGAGTTGTCCTACCTGGTTTAGCAGGGGTCCAACGTTGCCCTTGCTTTTCCTCCGGCTCCCCACATATCTGAAAAAGGACTTTTTATTGTCCTTGATACTCGAAGTTAGTTGGAGTTCAGAGATGTACTTTTACTGTTCACTATCTACTTAATTCAAGGTGAACTCTGCACAGATTAGAATAAACAAACAGTACCCAGCAGAAATATTAGCCTACTCTTTTTGAAGATGAAAAAATTGAGGCCCAGAATGTAAGTGCCTTTGCAGGAAGTCTGTCTGTGGCTAGGGACAAACATTCAAAAATCTGGAGCCTAAATTGATTCAGTCTTTGCAGGTTAGTCTAACCTGCCTAGATTGAACTGATTTGCAACTGAATAGACATTCCCTTTTCACTCAGGAAATGCAAGCACTTGTCTGCACTGGCTTATGCCAGAAGTTGGGGGGTGCTAGAGCAACCCTTGGCTGCATGGAAGCTGTGCAGGGGTGGGGAAAAGGGGGAGGCATGGCCAGCCCTGGCAATAGCCTCAAGTTAACTGGCCAGGGAGTGGGTTTAATTCCC